TATATTAAGAGATATTTGAAAATATACAGTAATATGAAAATTGAGATTCCCTGTCTTTCACCCCTTTCACTTCCATTGTTTTTGGTGAATCCTTCCAGAAATATATTATGTGTATATAAACATGTATGTATACATTTGAACCCACAAATAAGATCATACATCTCAGTGGCTTGTCTTGTTAATATTTCTTGCTTACACATGACTTATGAGGACTGCTGATGATCTGTAGCCTTATTACCAACTTTACAGGGCTCCATTTGGCTTACAAGTTTTCTCTTTTACAAGTAGTCACTTAGGATCTTTAGTGACTAACCACTATCTGCAGCATACTATTTTTTACACATGGCAGAGGGCAAATAGGTGAACCACAAAAAGTTAGTTTTTTTCATGGGTATTATATGTTTGATGTTCACTTACATTTTTTTGGCCAAAGCAAGTAGCATGACCAAACCCAGTCTCTGGGGCAATAATTACTGAACATGTGGGGAAAGCTTCTAACATGAAATAAATGAAAGAGCACAAAGCAAAACAATAATAACATAAGAAATTAGAAAGAGGGACTGGGGCTGTGGCTCAGAGGTTGTGCACTTGCTTAGCATGTGTGAGGCACTGGGTTCAAATCTCAGTACCACATATAAATAAATAAAATAAAGGTCTATCAACAACTAAAAAATTACAAAAAAAAAGAAATTAGAAACAAAAGCAAAGAAATATTATAGTAACATAAGAAATTAGAAGAAACAAAGACAAATTATAAGGAGAAAAAAGAACCTCAAACTAATTAATATCCTTAAGAGAATTAAGAGGAAGACAATACATTCATCAAATAAGGATGACAAAAGGCCATCCAATAGGAAGAATTAGAGTAAGAAACTTTTGGAAAATATAATATGATTAAAACAAAACAAAACAGGTAGAAATTTTGGAAAATAAAATTAAGGAATCTTCCAAACAGGAGGAAAGCCAAAGAAATAGAAAACAGAGAAGTTGAAGGTTTGAGAACCAATACAACAGGATCAACATCCACCTTAAAAAAAAAAGAGAAAAAAAAAAAAAAAGAGAGAGAGAGAGAGAACAGAGAAAATGGGAAGAATTTATTAAAGACATAAAATTTTAAACATTTTATTTGAATTGATGAGGCAGGAGCCTTCAGTTTGCAGAGGTATACCATTGGGAGAGATTAACTCATGAAGTGTAAAAAGTTCAGACCAAAGCAGATTTTAGAACTATTACAATAAAGTGATGCTCTCATAGATTTTTGTATTTGGGATGGGACAGAAGAAAGAAAGGCTGTTATATTATTTTCAAATTTCAGGAATCAGAGCAGTGGTGCATGTCTGCAATCTCAGCTACTCTGGAGGCTGAGGCAGGAGAATTCCAAATTCAGTCAGCCAAAACAACTCAGTGAGACCCTGTCTGAAAATTTTTAAAAAGGGATGTAACTCAATGGTAGGGTGCTTCTCTAACATGTTCAACACTTAATACTTCAAAGAAAAAAGAAAGAAAAGGGAAAAAATTTCAGAAATCAGAATAGCACTAGGCTTTCATCAGGAATGTAGACTCTAGTGAAGCCATTGCTTCAGAATACTAAATGAATCTGAATTTCAACTTAGAGGTCTGTGCTTAGTCAAATTATGAATTTGTGTGAGAGTAAAAAAAATTTTTTTTTTCAGAATTGCAAACTGATAGAAAATTTCATTCTTTGTAAGAGATGTGATGGAGACGGTTTAGCTAAGACTTCACTTTCTACGTTAAGGAGAAAATAATGTTTAATATTGAAAAAACTGAAGAAACAGTTATATCTTCTAAACAAGTATTTAGAAATCACAGGAGTTGAAATTGTTCACTTCTGGGGGCAGGATATGGGGAGTATTGGGTGGGGCCTGCAACTTATAAGACTCAGTATTATATGAGTTTTAAACTATGAATGATTACTTTGATAAAAATTTAAAAAATTAAGTTTAAATCTTTATTTCTTTTCTGTGAAAAGAAATCAGTAGCAAAAGTGAAACAAAACAATCCTTTTCTATAATTGGAAAATTTTCTGAATAATTAATGACTTGTTATGATAATTAGGAAAAGCTGGGCTTTGGTAGCGTGTATATACCTGTAGATCTAGCTATTCAGGATTCTGGGGGTGGAAGGATCATTTGAGCCCAGGAGTTCAAGACAAACTTGACCCTGTTTCCAAAAAAGAAAAGAAAGAAAATCAGAAAATATTTAGAACTGAATAAAGAAATTGCCACATATTAAAACATGAGGGGGCTGGGGATGTGTCTCAAGCAGTAATGCACTTGCCTGGCATGCGCAGGGCACTGATTTGGATCCTGAGCACTACATAATGAAGCACATAATGAAGATGATGTGTCTATCGAAAACTGAAAAATAAATATTAAAAAATTCTCTCTCTCTCTCTTAAAAAAAATAAGTAAAACATGAGGGATGTAGGTAAGACATTACACATAAAACAATATTTAGTTAAGGAGCAAGACTGAAAATTAATTAGCTAAATACCAAAGCTTGGGCTGGGGCCGTAGTGTGATGCCAGAGCAGTTGTATACCATTTATTAGGCACTAGGTTCAAGCCTTAGCACCACATTAAAAATAAACAAATAAAGGCATTCTCTCCATCTACAATACAAAAAAAAATTTAAATCAATAAATCCCAAAGCTAGACAAAAAAGAGCACATAATTTCAAGCAAGTAGAAGATAAAAATAAAGATTAAAGAGCAGAAATTAATGAAGTAAAAAGAAGAAGGCAGGAGAAAATATTTTGAAACACTGATTTTAAAAATAGTCTGAGCTGCTCTGGTGGCACTCTCCTGTAATTCCAGCAACTCGAGGCTGAGGCAGGAGGATTGAAA